AAGATTAATAATAATTTATTATAAACGAGAATTTTGCTACAATAATTTTAAAAGAATTGTTTTCCCAAAGTTTTGCCAAAAATATTTTTAATCAAATTGCTTTAACCTCATATTAATATTACGCACACGCCTTGAAATAAAAAATAACCTTTTCATTATATATATAATTATTATTCAATATGCTTGGTTCGGCGGTTATTTGTATGTTTTCAGCCTGTTATTTTAAATATATTTATGTATTTTATAATTACTGGTATTTATTAAAAGTTGCATATAAAGTATTTTTGTTGTTTTATATCTTTGAGTATATTGGTATATTTTATTTTAAATATTATTTAATTTTTGCTTTTGTTGGTATTTTTATGTAGTTGAACGGCTGTTTTGTTTACCTTAAAATTATTTTGTACAATTATTTTTACTTTCTGTTCCACTGCATGAGTTCTGTTTGGTTCTAATTCTGTACTATTTGTTTTCCGTATGCTTGCATATTGTGATTTTCTCGCTCCTTTTATAGCGTTTTAAGTAGCAAGTAGTTAGTTTAGTGAGTTTTAGTTATATGTAGTTTACTGTAGTAAGCTTAGTTGAGAATTTGACATTGCGTGTTTGAGTATTGACTTTATTCTTAATATTTTTAATACAATTAGTTGTCTTAAATATTAATTTGGTATTTATATTATATATACTTATATTTGTGTACATAATTTTTGTATGTATGTGTGTCTTGGATTAAGTTGTAGTTAGTTCTATAAGTTATAGTGAAATTTGTATGATTAGTTGTATGATTGATAGTAAAGGTTTACTTGATTAAAACTATGATTGACATTTTCAGATGGAAAGTTTTGTGTGTGGAATTTGAAAAAAAAAAATTATAAATGCTTGTAATTTTTTGGAAAGTTATGAAAATTTTAATTTTATTTATAAAATTTTTTTTTATTAAAATTTTTTATTGGAATATTGAACTGAAATTGAATTCTTTTCTTTCAAAATTTGAAAAACTCAATATAAAATGTTTAAACGTTTTGAAAAGAATTAAGAAAAAATTTCAAAATTTTATTTCCTTGTGATTCAGAATATATATTCTCAGTTAGAAATAGATCAGATATTATATTAAAAAACAACGCCTACAACAACTTTTTTTTTAATTTTCAAAAATATGATTTTTTTTAGTTGCAAACATATGACCACTTGAAATCACTTTGCTTACAAATAATTTAATATAATAGTATAAGGATAATTTAAACACTGTTTAAAATTTTTAAAAATATTAGCTGATTTTATATWACTCTTTCTCAAAAGCAATTAATATAAACTCTCTGTTAATTTATACTTTTCCACAATTTTTTTAAATTTATTATTATTATTTAAAAAAAAGATGAGCCGAAATAATTTTAAATTCTTACATTTAATTTAATTTTTTTTTTTAATTCTTATTTGAAAGTGTAGACTATTAGTATTCAACGAAAACGAAAATGCAAATCGTAAGAATTTTACAAAAATGTTGAGATTATTGACCGTAAACAAAATATATTGAAAAAAAATCATAAGATAATATATTTTGCTGATTGAAGTGAAATAAATTATTAATAACCTAATATATGTATATAGGGATATATTTTACTTGAAAAAAAAATTATAT